AAGAAACCCTTTACTCGTAAATAATTCAGTCTAGCTCTCATCCCAGTTGCGTAAAAACCCCTCTTTGACCGATTAAATAGTAGCCACGCAACAGTACATGTACTATTACATGTATAATCAAGGTATCTGTATCCTTGTTTTGTTTTATTTTTTATTTTGCTAAAAGACAAACACATATTTTACCAGGTTTAAGATCTGAGGATTTTGTAGCTTTTCAAGGGGTAGTGATACCTAACGAAATTGATTTAATCAGACGAAATTAAATTTGATGAATGACGAAACTCTTGATGAAATTGTTTTGGCCTTGAAGAAAATTATTCTAAAGAATATGTTCTTTAAGATTATTATAAAAAATATTTAAGTTATTATAAAATTTTTGGCAAAATTGTAAAATGATGAAATCATTAGCCAATTCAAAAAATATCTTTAGTGAAGGGGGGAAGAAAAAGACCTTCACTCCCAGAGTTTTATTTACAGTCAACTCTCTCTAAATGCACACATATGAAAATCAAACCTGAGAGTGCATTTATAGAATTTGTGCATTTATAGCGAGCATTTTACTTAGTAATATTATTAACTTGGGACCGAACCAAGGTGTGCATTTAGAGAGAGTTGACTGTAATTTAGTAATCCAACTTTTGATTTTCATAGATTCTCGCTTCGATAAACACAATCTTTGCTAAATGAATTATTATGGTCACATGCCTCTAAATGCATGCTCTTTTAAATGTATTTTATATTACCAGTTCTAAGAATGTGCATTAAAAGAAGTGTGAATGACTATCGTGCAATCTTACTTTTCTTGATAACCGGTTTAGTCTGACATTTTTATAAACCTGCCCTGTTTGTTACCGAAGAGTGTTTTGGTATTAGAGGGCGGAAAATGGTTGAATATCAATTATATGAGTGGAACCCAGGAAACATAATTTACCAAGGAAAATAAATTTTCTCGAATAATGTTTCTTTGAAGAAGACTGACCTTAGCGTAACAAAAATGCGTTTCTAAAGTAAAATGAACAATTCTTCGATAAATCATAGACGACGTTGTTTGAATAATTTTTAGATGCACGTATAGGGATAACAATTATAACTTATTCAATTGTTATAGCTCATTACAAAGTTTTATATTAAAAGTAACTATCCGACCAAAAAAGACGGTGTACAGAAATTTAATTATTGTTCTTCGAAAAGAACGAACAAAACGTGTATACTTTCCTGTTGTTGAATTCGTATCAATTCAAGATATTGTACTAGTGAGGTGATTGAGTTGATTGAATACAAATTATTATAGGTATCGTTTCTTTGTCCACTAACCTGTGGCTTTTTTACTATGTTTGTATATGATTTGGATTATGAATAATGAAGAGTGTAACTAACGAGAGGTGTGACTAATGAGGGGTTTGACTAATGAGAATTCCAGTTCGGGTTTCTAGAAGTATCCATGTTAAATTTTTATAATTTTCAGTATTAATAAAATCTATAAAAGGCTTAAATAGCAAAAATAAATTAGTAGGATATGAATTAAATTAATATGTTCAAATAAATCTATTCTTAAGTATTAATTCAAAAAAAAGTCTTTGTAAAGTGGAATGCACTTTTCAAATTAAAAAAGAGCACAAGCATATAACGTGAATGGCACAATTACAACGTATAAGCGTGTTTTATTGTTTTTTGTAATTTATATTGTATATTAATAATCCACCCCCGAGATTTGCATTTTGATTATTACGTGTAGCCATGAACATATATTAAGTTCCAATTATAGATTAGCGATATCGTTACATAAATTAACATACTAGGATATTTATTGTGTCAATTACAAAAATGAAAAAAAAGATTACGAATAAAAAATTACAAACTAACAATACATATCCTTCTAGAGAATTTATTATCTCTATTATTGTCATGTAATTAGAATAAATTATGTTTGTTCTGCGGTACTAAAGATGATAGAATCACATTTTCACCTGTAAATTTCTTTTAAGCAATTCAAAGCGGGTAAGAACCAATAAAGCTTATTATCGGATTCCACGTTGTATGTATAATTTATAATTAAGCGTGCCAAAGATACTCTTTCTCATTCTTTTGGAGATATAACGTCGTCGTCGTCGTCGTATAATCCAAGTCCAATGTTATTTGAAATCATTAATAGATTCTGTAAATCCTAAAAAATAAAGAAATATATTACTAAATATTCTTTTTCTTGTAATTTTCAAGTTACTTACAATTGTTGAAAGATGTAAACTTGATGAAAGATAATTTTTATTCAAATCAGAGTTGCTGTTCCTTGAAATAATTTCGGCTAAATTATCGACAACTTTATCTATGTCTTTTAAACGAGCTTCAAGGATATCTATGTAGTTGTCATTTTTATCGCAATATTTACAATTTGTTGATTTTTTGGCATTGCTTGCTCGTCGTAATTGGGGATAAGAGGTTCCTCTTATTGTAAATATATGTTTTCTTCCGGTAGTATCAATTCCATTAGACTTTTTGTTTTTACGATTCTGTAGAGTTCCTTGTGGTAAAACCATTTTAAAATAAAAAATAAATTTTTTGAAAAACAACAACCACTCTTTATATCTTTTTATACACAATGTTACACACTTGTATTTCTGATACATGAATGTACTGTACGTACGCAAAATTAAGTACTAATTAATAAATAGTCTTGTATTTAAATTTACAGGGGAGGTAGTTTATACGCAGTTAATTTAAAAATTTTAATTTCTGATTATGAAATAAGTTAACTTTCTGCGTAGTTGGTTTTCGTCAAAGATTATTTATTTTTGGAATTCTAATTATTTACCTGCATTTCTTTTCGGGATTATGTTTGGAACGAATTTACCGGATTTGACTCTATATCGATATACATGTACGTACGTAGATATATTTCCCAAAGAATTTTGTACATGTACATGTACGTAAATAACAAATGTAAAAAAGAAATTTCTCTTGATGCACTTTTTTAATGCTACGTAATCATGAAATGATACATGTATATTCTTTTCAGAATGACGATAGGAATCGATTCCGATTTTCACTTGTGAAAAGCATGCAAATATTACAATGTTAATATTGATAATAACCAAGAAACTATAGAGTTTAATAACTCTGATAGTGATACCAATGCCAAAAGTAACTGATATTGATCCAAATTTGAATAATATTTATGAAACAACAGAACTTATGTAATGAAACGGATACAGAATCACAATGCTTACCACGTAGTATCGCTACGAATTCAACTAATCAAAGTACAACTTCAAATATTCCAACGAAAAGGGAAAAAATCAACATGCAATAAAAAACAAAACCAAAGACCAGTTATGTCCTCGCCGTCATCGTCGTTATTGCCGTCATCGTCGTTATTGCTGTCATCGTCGTGATTTTTGCTCGAGAATCGATTTTGAGCTGAGAATCGATTCCCATCCCTATACCTAATTTTTTCACAACTTGCAAATAAATATTTGACAATTCCTACCCATCTGAACATCAATTCAGATGTTGGAAACTTAATTACACATGAACGAAATCGATTAAATAGCAATTTGGTATAACAAATTATGGTTATTAAAAGAAACCGAGAACTTGTAAATAAAAATTTATTAATAAATTCCTGAACTAGGTATTTCGATTCTGGGTTGAGAATCGATTCCAATCCCTATTTTCAGATCAGAATTTATGTTTTTAATTATAGATTTATAGATACAGTACTGCGGAAAATATTAGTTTGCTAATTTTTGAAGTATTTTAAATGGAAATGCATACATTTAATATGTTGTGAACACAAACCTATATATTAGCTATAAATAAATTGATAAAGTAACATATACGTATACGTATTGGCTATAAATAACTTGATAAGGTAGTTCAATGCTATATTAGAGTAAAAAGAGTATTGTCGCAATATTCTTTTTACTAGTGATGTGAGTTGAACAAAAATTTTCGGTCCGCCTCGACTAGTGATGCGGGTTAGGAAATTGTTTTAACCTTGACGAAAATGACGTAACCATTAACCAATTCAAAAATAGTTTAATCAGGTATCTTTACCTACCTGTCCGGCTTCGTCAAGAGTTTCGTATTTAATTTCGTCTACTAATTAAATCAATTCGTCAGGTATCACCAGTCCAGTGTTGGTGAGCCAATGGACTGACCAGCGTTCCATTGAGAATAGTCTATTGTTCCATTGGTTTCTGTATAATTACTGGACTTTGATCCATTAATTTATTATTACAATGAGAACCAATTAACTTGGTCCATTGATAACTGAAAATAATGCAAGCTGCGCCGCAATAGGACATGGGCCAAAGTCCATTGGCAACACTGATAATTTTACCAACATGCGGGGCGGACCGAAGGTTTTCGATCGGCCCGCATCACCCGAGAAAAAAAGTTGTAAATCAAAACACAAAATTCTTTTTTTTGCAAAGTACGTCGCAATTTCTTTGAAAATAGCAGAGGGAGTAGTAATTCATGTGCAGAAAAAGATTACTACTGTATACCAGGATAAATAAATTTAAACAAAAAGCCAATAAATTTGTCATTTAAAAATATCAACACACCCGTTGTTAACAACATTGGTCGCAGAACAGATTTCAGATGATAATGAATTATATATTGACCTTAAACCCGTATATATCAATAGTCCGGTCCCATAATACTAATGACAACGAGGGACGTCTGTACTCTAATAAAAAAACTATTAAACCAAATTACACTTACTTTTCCTGTCTCAGGACCAAATAGCCAATCGAGTTTCGCCATGAGGAAGTCCAATATAATTTCTACCTAAAAGATAATCCTTCAATTACAGTAAAAACAAATTACTGTTAAGTCGAAATTGAAAATATTTATTTTAAAATATATTACCAATAAATGAATGAGGATTAATTAACAAATCAGTAATGTACAGTATAGAGAATTACTCAACTCAAAAATTAATAAAGAACTGAGGCAATTTTTGTGATAAAGTCCACAGCAATAGCTAACTGTGATTTATATAAAAAATGAGAATGAGAAGTATTGGTAAAATGAAAGATGCTTTTGTATATATTAATCAATTTTTCTAAAATGGAAATAACGAAGTTGATAATGATATAAAGTCTTATACCAATTTTATATAAATATAAATACACGTACACAGGTGGAACAATTAACTGATAATGATCAAAAGAATAAAATATCATATACGTAAATGTAATTAAAATAAAGTTTTTGAAATGTTTTTATATTGACTTTTCTCATGGTGAAAAACTCGATATTGGCTGTTTGGTTTTGAGACAGAAAAAAGTGATATATTAATTTAGTTTTTATTAAAGTATCAGTATTTAAATTGTATTAAACACTTTACAATTAGAATTTTATCATTTTTCTTTTACATAATTTACAGAGAGCAATCAAAATTATGCAGACACTCTATAAAGTAAAATAACACAAAATCTAATGAAAAAATCTTATTTAATGAATCAGAATTTTATTTTTATTGACCATTTTTTTTTTACATAGATTAATGTTTGGTTTGACTATTATTAACAAGAATAACAGCATGAATTCAATTAGACATTAATTAAAATGGTCACTTTTGAATGTGATATCTCGGTATTCAGATAAAATATCATCATTCAATCTGTCTGGATAAGATGAATCAAATAGTGATATTTATATTCAAAACTGTTTACTGAATGCAAAGATACTCTAATACAAATGACTGCATTGTTTTTTTAAATATATTTTTCAATTTTTTTTTGGATTATAGTATCTTAGTATTCAGTAAACTTTTCGAATATAAATTTTACTATTTGATTTGTTTAATCCAGATGGATTGAATGATAGTACACACCCATACAATATATTACCGGAAATTTCAAAAATGAATTTGTCACTTCGGAACCCGATATCTCGACATCCGGTGACAAATATCGCTATTAGATTCGCCTCGACTATACAAATATAACGGTAATATTTGTATTCGAATCGGATCACCGGATGTCGAGATATCGGGCTCCAAAGTGACAAATTCATTTTTGAAATTTCCGGTAATATATTGTAGGGGTGTGCACTATCATTTGGATTTAATTTCTGGATATCAAGATATTATATCTTAAAGTGACTGTTTTAATTTATAAAAATTTAATGTCTAATTGAATTCATGATGTTATTCTTGTAATAATAACTAATTTATTAATAGATGATATAAAAAATGTTCAATAAAAATAAATTCTATGATTTTTTCATTATAAAATATCTGCATCATTTTGATTGCTCTCTGTGGTGCTTGGTTAGAAAGACTGCTATCATAAATTCGATTAAGCATTGAATAAAATGGTCACTTAAATTCAAATGAAATACGACCATTTGATCCAGATAAATTAAATGGTGGTATTTCATTTGAATTTGAGTGACCATTTTATTCAATGCTTAATCGAATTTATGATAGTAGTCTTGCTAATGGTGGTCGAACCAAGCACCAATTTATTAATAGATTATGTAAAAAAAATGATCAAAGTTTAATTCATAGAATAAGATTTTTTCATAGATTTTGTGTTATTTTACTTTATAAAAATCGCCCTCTGTACGCAATTGTTTTTTAAAGAAATTGAGACATGCATTGCCAAAAATTTATATTTTAATTTATGGTAAAAATATAACAATGTTCTATGTTAAAGAATAAATATAACTTTTTTTTAAAATAGACTAGGATACAGCGCCAGCCTTAGATGTAATCACGACAAAACATTATTTATCGAACAAGTTTAAATCTTTAGATAAAGTTGGATTTGATAAAATGAATGTTGTTGGATTGTCAATGGTAAAGAAAACTGATATTAATATGTAGATGCAAATAATTTAAAGTCAACATGGATAATGATACCGTTTTGGTTAGTTTATACATGTACAGTACCCCCAAAAATTATCGCCTGATTTTTTTAGAAAATGAAATTTTCGATTTATTTCATTATTGCTTTATATACATAAAAATTTTTTGTTATCATTAACTAATAAATTACCCACCCTCTATATGGCTTCAATATCACCTCGATTCCTTACGGCATCGAGCTCACATCTACCCCGAACTAACACATTACATTTTGACTACACTTTCTTCAGAACATGTTCACAATTTTTGAAAAGCTTTTACACTTTAGAAT